ATATGTAATTTAAAAGCAAGCTTTTTTTTGTAAAAACTTCAATTAAATTTCAATAAAGTTAAAGGCATGGCCTTACCGTTAATATTTAAAAAAAAAAAAAAATTATATATTCTTATAATTACAAGAAGCATTTTTAATAAAATTGTTAAAAATATAAATAGAAATTAAGATATAATTGTTGGAAAGAACAACATAATTAAAAAATAAAAGAATAGAATAAGTTAAAAATATAAAGCTAAGTCAATTAATAAGAATTTTAATATTAAGCTTACAAATATATTTAATAAAACTAATAGGTCAAATAAGATTGAGATTATTATTAAAGGTATTTTGTTTAGGAATAAGGTAAATTTGACTATGTTTTTATTATTTAAAAATTATATTTTTAAGAAGATAACAATTAAAAAGAGCAGTAAAAGTCTTTTCTAACCTATCCTAACTAGAACCTAATTTGAAATAGTTAGCTATAGTACTTATAGAAAATAGTGGTATAATGTTACATTGGGTATTAACTTGTAGCACAAATGTAATTTAAAAATCTTTAATTTTAAAACTTATAATCTATATATAAAAAGTTTCTATTTGAATATTATATTAATAATAATAAAAAAAAAAAAAAAAAAAAAAAAGCATAATACCAAAGGTATATTGGAAACTAATATATTTAAGCATTTCATAACTAATATCTGTAGAACTATAAGCTTTGTTATTAGATAATTAAAAAAGTATTTAAAAAGTTCTTTATTAATAATTAGAAAATTAAGAGAATGATACTAAATTGAATTAATGTAAAGAAATAGAAGATAGTATTATTGCCAAAAATTATCAAAAAGAGTTTAGTTGATAGGTTTGTATAATTCAGTTATAAAGATGATTGTTAATTTGGAAGTTCTTTTAATTAATATTAAAAATATTGAAATGTTAAGTTTTTTAACAAATTTAATAATATAATTAAGTTTTTTGAGAAATAGATATAATAAAATACTATGAAGTGAGTATTAGTAATTGGATCTAAATTTAGAAGAAATTTTGTTAGAAATAATATAAGTAGTAGTATAAATAATGAAATATTGAATTTTATATTAAGTTGTTCAATACTTTCATGAGTTTTATTATTAATAAAGATTTGTATAATAGAAGTTATTTAAATAGAATATCTATAAAAACTTTTTAGTCCTCTGTAGGTATAGTTTTATAATTAAAAATATGATAATTAATACTAGTATATTTGTATAAAAGTTTTTATAGTCATATAAAAATGTTCAAATAGAAAAAAAAATCAGATAATTACTAAAGATAGAAGTTTAACTATTATTAAAACTATAAGAAAAAAAAATTATATATTAAATTAGTTAGTTAAAATGTAATCAATATAACTACTATTAGTATTATTAGATCAGATAAAATGTTTGTTGCTAAAGTTCCAATATTATATATATTAGAATTATTAAAAAAATTAATAAGTTTGTATTTAGAAAAAGAGTTATAAGTAATGTTCTATATATTAAATATTACTAAAATTAATAGAGTGAATATGAAGTTGGAAGACTGTTAAATCTAATTAATTATTGTATTTTGAGTTTAATTACAAATAGAAATATCAGTTAATAATAAATATACTAAGATATTATAAAACTTGATATTATTTCAAAAAAAATATTAAGTATAATACTTTCAAAATAAATATATATACTATGAATATAAGATTTAAGATAATTGTAAATTATAATAGTAGTGTCTTTTATAGAAGTAGAAGAATTAGATCAGTAGTAAGTAAAAAAATTATTATTATAAAAGAAGAAATTAGTTTTGTTTGAGATATTTGATTTCTATAATATTTGTAATAAATATGTTATATTTAAGGCAATAATTTTGCTATGCTTCTCTTTTAATAGATTTATTGAAACTTTTAATTAAGATGATGTGAAGTTAATCAAATAAAGTAAAGAACTACAGTCAGAAATAGTTGAAGAATTATTATTAAGAAACAGATTAAATAAAATAAAAGTAAAAATAAAAAAGTTATATCTAAGAGAAAGATTATAAAATATAGAAAAAAGATATGAGAGAATTACAATATAATTAGACAAAAGAATATTATTAAAAAGGTATATATGAGTTTTATAATAAGATAAATTAATAAAAAATATAATACTAAATACAGTTTTATTTTTATTATATTTATGAATATATAAAATAAAGCTTGAATATTTTAATCATATAAAAAAAGTATTAAATTGTGATAAAAAAGAAATTTGTTAAAGCATATATAAAAGTTATAGACATTAGAAATGTTAAAAATAATCTTATAAAATTGTCTTCTATAGAGTCAATTACTATATACTTAACTCTCACAGCTGTGTAAAATACTATAGTCTGTTTTGTATATTTGGTTTGACTATTATTAATATAATATTTTATATAAACTAAATGAAATTCAATATATCAAATAATTAATAAAACATATATCTAAAAGAATATATTGAAATAATATTAGTAAAACATCCAAATTTAAAAAATTATTAAATAAATAAAAAAGATTAAAAAATATTTAAGTAATTAATTCAATTATTAGTATAATTAAATAATATTACTATTAAACTTTTTTTACAAAAATATCTTAGAATAGCATATACATGAATATTTTTATTAGTGATTAGAAGTAAATTAAAGTCTAATCAAAAAAATAAATATTCTTTAACAAGAGTTGTTAAAGAAATGTTATTCAAATTTATTGAATATTATAATACAATAATAGAATCTTTTTATATTGCAACTTTTTTAAATCTAAATATAAATAATATTGTTTTTCAAATATAAATAATAATGAAATTTTAGATCCAATTAAAGATAAATTAAAATAACAATGATTTTTATTATTAGTATTACTATCTAAAAATTTTTCAAGTTTTTATTAAAAATTAATAAGTATATTTCAAAATCTACAAATAACAAATAATAAAGTTTATAAATATTAGACATTTGCTAAAGCTAATAAAAATGTTAATCTTTTAGAATAATGAAAACTATATATTATTAAAATTTTATTTATTTTATTTAAATTTTATTTATTTTATTATATTTTATTTATTATAAATCAATAAATTTATTAAATTTAATAAATTATACTTATATTAAATTATTTAAAGTTTATTTTTATAATGTAATTAAAATAAATTTTTAATCTATTTGATTTTTATAATATTAATAATAAAAGATAATTATTTATACAATCTGATCTTAATATTTTACTAAGAAAACTAGTTTTTGATTTCTAATAAACATCATAGAAGATATTCTTAAAACTCTACCCTATAAATTTTTTTTTAAATATTTCAATTATTTCTCTATATTTTTTGTGAAAACTTAATAAATCTGCAACATATTTGACAAAATCTAGACAGACCTAATAATCTTTATGATTTAAGGTTATAAATTCTGTGAATATACAACATTTATGAACAAAACACGGAATATAAAACGTGAATTAACTTTTTTTATAGGGTAATATAATGTTTTCATATATTTTAAAAAGGTTACTAGCTAGTTAATTGGTTGGTCAGTCAGTCATTGAGTAATAATCAGGCCGTTATTGACTGTGACCGACCATAACAAGTACCCTAGCCATGACAAAAATGAAGTGTTGGGTCATTTGATTTCCAATGGCTCCGACTCAGACCTAACTCTGAATATCAAAGGTCATTACTCCGACCAATCAAATTATTTGTATAGCAAATAGACTCCCAAACAGTGTATGCATTTTCTAAGTAATTACCAAACAAATAAAAATGTTTATTGTAATATTTTACGTGTATTCGAAATTTTGGTAAATTACAAAAAAATTTTTACTACATAGTTTCAAATTTTATTTGTGAAATTCTGAACATTTGCCGAAGATACAATTATAAAAAATTTTTAGTAGGATAATATTTAATTGATATGGATCTTATCGCATCCTTAAATTATAGCACTTTAAATCTAAATAGTAGTAAGTAGTATGAATTTGATATAACTATACAATTATACAATTTGCTCGATATACCCAGAATATGATCATCTACGACTCTAAAGCTTATTATATTAAGCCTGTATGTACCTATCAGTATACTAAAATTGTAAAGCTTATTGGGTTAAAATTTATGCAAGAATTTGAACTAGAGTAATTTACAATAATAGCCTATGTACTCCTTACTAAATAATTGGGCGAACGTCTAATAAGCCACAAATATATGGATCCATATGCAGTAAAACATAAGTAAATGTAGTATGTATATAAAATAACATAATAGGAAATATCGTATATATAAAAATACAATAATAGAAAACATGTTATATAGAAATAGTATAATTGTAGCGCAGCATAATCAGGAAACCTGGTAGAATAGAATAACTTAAAGAATAATTGAAACGTAGCATGTACGGGATAATTAAGAGACGAGTTTAAAAACGTGATGAAAATAGTATAATTAAGAGACGTGGTGAAAATATGGTAATTAAAAGACATAGTAGAAATATGGCATTAATAAATGTGTTAGATAACAATAAGAAATCCTAAAGAATATACCAAAGAAAAAAATAGATAAAAGGAGGTTTTTGTAAAGATAAATTATAAATAAGTAAATAAATTTAAATAAATAAAAAAGCATAAAAAAGCATAAATAAGTAAATAAATTTTAAATAAATAAATTCACTATCTGAATTAAACGTTCTCCTTAACTAGCATATAGACAAATCCAAATTTTTCTTCATAGATTCTTTAAATAAATTTTCATTAATATATATGCAAAATGAGTGATAGAACTCTCTGTAAAGATATCTCTAATTCAGCATAAGAATTAACAATATTTTTTTGATATCAATAAAATAAACTTATCTTTTCTAGTAGATTCAACCCAAACCTCTGGAACTAAAATGTGTACTGGGTGTCATACCACAAAGAAGATTAATGATTTTATTTGTCCTTATAAAGATAACCCGAATTATGAACATGCAACCTGTAATAGATGCTGTGAAAGGCACAAGAGTAAAAAGCAAGGAACAGACTTAAATCCAATATCAGTAAAAAAAGCAAAGCTCTTGAGGGTGGATCTTAACACAGAAATTGCTGACAATACTTCAAGCACTTGTGTTGATAATGATTTAGAGAACACAGAGCCAATTCTTGAACAAGAAGTCTTTAAAGAAGATATGACAAACAATCTACAAATGAATAATGCAAGTGATACTGAAAATATTCACTATGATGATGATAAGAGTGGATTTCTATATAGCATTGATGAAATAGAAGAGTATATTAGAACAAAGTTTCATGACTTAGAGAATAATGATGAACCTGTAAAAATTTCGTTCGAAATTGAGTTAGATTCACAACTTGTTGAATATAGTACTTGTAATCTCCAATCAGAATCACTGGATTTAGAAGTAATTAAAAATAATTTTCACCTAATTGCCAAAATAATCATCGTCACAATCGAGTCTGGATCTAATTATTACTGTGAAATACATAAAGTATATCAGAATAATAGTGAAAAGAAGTTTAATGGCTGTGCGACAATATAGCTAACAAAAAATACACTATAAAACACTCTTTTCATACCTTTTCATCCAAAGCAACAGCTCTTCATAAGGATCTTAAACAAATTGGTAGCATCATTGACAATGTTAAAAACTTATTCAAACATCACCAACCAATCACCAATACTATTATTAACCAAATTTATAATATTAACCAAAAACATGACTTTGATATACCAAACCCTCCTTCAGACCTTCAATCATTACCACAATGAATCTCCCAAATAAAACAATCATGGAAGGCTATATATTATGCTAGAAGCTTAGAAAACTCTCAATACCTCTGCCAACATATTAACAAAGCAATTGATAACAGATGCGAATGACTACTAACTCAACCAACTAAAATGATTAATAGCATTCTT